TGCTTTTTACTCACCTTGAACTTTCTTGACTCAGGTGTGCGCGCGAGTATGAGTTGCGGAGCACATCCCTGTTAAGCGATTTGGGTTAACGGTTAGAGCTTCTGGCGGGGACGGGATTTGCTTTGCGGGGCGGAGTTAGTCTGCACTTTGCAGCCTCAAATTTCAGCCGGGCTGCGGTGAGGTGGTTTGAGTGGTTCCCACGACTCTCCCGGGATGCCAGCGCGTATGAGCTTTTGACATTTGGCAATTTATTAAGTACTTGGTGCTGACTTTCTGGGACGAGTTGATCCTTTTTGAACCTTTCTCTTGGTGGAGGCGGGTGGGGGGGCGAGGAAGGAGCCAGACTCTGACTTTCATAGAGTTCTGTGTTTAAAGAATGGACAGACTCGCCAGTTGATTCACGTAAAATCTTGTGAGATACAGATAGATTTTGAGGCTTTGATGGTAACCGGGTTTGATCAAAGACGGATAGTGCAGCCTCGCTCTTTTATTGTAAATACATAAAAGAAGGGGAAGAAAATAAAAATGTGGGGGTGTCGTGCAGCGCACCCGCTGTCTGGTCGTTTGAAAGAAAAGGCTCTGCTTTAGTCTGGGGGGAATCGCTTCCCTCCCTCCTACCCGGCTCTCCTTGAGTTCGAACTGCTCTAGGGTTTTATAACATGAAGTGGCAAACTGGTTTAAGATTTACAGAGTGATTTTGTAAGCAACTGTTCCGCACGGTGTTTTATATAGTGGGACATGGGCTAGAAGCAGTTTTGAGTCTCCCGTCTGCCTGCAGCAGGTGCTGGGCGATGGGAGACAATTTTGGTCGCGTTATCCGCCATCCAGCAGACTTTGGAGTCTCTAAAGTTTGATATGGACAATGGAAGGGCTGCCTTTGAGAGTCGTGCCGGAAGATTTAGAAAGTGTATTAACACACTGTTTTGTTTAAACAAATTGGAGTGGTCCAGGTGTTGTAATCTGCTCTCTTTTGCTATGTATTCCTTGAAGTGGTCTTGGGGTGAAACGCCGTTTTCAGCCCTCATCGTGAACTGTGCCTTATCTGATAAGTTGATGGCAAGTGAATGCCTTGAGAACAGATCTTCTCATGACTTTTGAAAATGTCTTTAATGTCTAAAAAATGTTTCTTAAAAAAAAGATGTATTTTTGTTCTTATCAAGAGTTTAGATTTCTATCGTAAAATATAAATGAGTTCCATTCAAATAAACTCCTCGCAGGATTTTGGATTTAAAATGAAATTAATTAATTTTGCACAATCTAGTCTTGGTTGAGCTCTAAGAAAATGTTGTAAACCTGTAATTATTAACCTTGTGGGAAGAAGTGAAAGGAGCTAGAATTTATGATGTGCCTGCTATGAACCAGGCATGATGCTGAGAGCTTAACTGTGTCATTTAGTCTTACATAGCCCTATGAAGTAGATATTATTGCAACTTTACAGTTAAAAAATTGAGACACAGAGAGGTTAAATATCTGCCTAAAGTGAAATGGAAAATTTTGCAATTTAGACTTAGCTTCAAGTGTTTTTGACCAAAGCCCTGTTCTTTACATCATGCCCTGATACTTAAAAGATGTAAAAATTTGTTTACAAGAAAGGGTTGTTATATCTGCAATGTACAGGTGCAATATGAATGAAAATTATATGTTATGACCCTGAAGGTGTGTTGTCTATGTGCTCCATGATATATAGTTCTGTTGGGTAGATGTGGTGAATACCCAAATAATAATAGTAACCAACAGTGGGCACCCTTTCTATCTTTGCCATGCTTTGTTCTAAGCACTTGATGTATTAATTCACTTAGTCCTCATAACTCCATGAGGTTTGTACTATTGTCATCTTCATTTTACAGCCTGAAAAAAACAAACAGAAGCACAGAGAAATTAAGTAATGGTCCAACTTATTTACATGGCTAATAAGTGGGGGAGGTGGGATCCAAACCCAGGTATTCTGGCCGCAATCCTAAGGTCTTAATGCTATTTGGAGCTGCCTCTCATGTAACTAGATATGTGTGACAGTTGCCTTAAAGGTATTAAAGTGTGAGTGTTCTCATAGCTCCTGGAAAGCAGTGTCGTGTCCGGATGGAGTGATCACTGACATAGCACCTTTTCTTTTTGGAGGTGGAACTTGAATTAAGCCTTGAAGTTGAATAGGTTCTCCTAGATGGAGAGATAACAGGATATTATGGATGGAGGATTTAACAGGGGCAAAAGGCTCAAAGAATGCAAGATCGGTGTTGATTTGTAAATGTGTCACAGAAGTAGAAATGTTGGGAGTCCAGTGGCAGGCTTAATGCACACTGCTCCTGTGTCTAACTACAGCCAAGATTTGGCAGCAGTGTAATTAACCCAGATAAGGAATTGTCTGAATGTAAGGGCTTGCAACAGTGGTTGGCAAACTTTGTCTGCAAAAGGGCAGATACTATGTATTTTAGGCTTAGAGTAAGGGGGCAAGTGGTAAGAGGTGACCTCTGAGAGGTGGGTGGGGTCCTGATTATGTAAAGACCTTGCAGACCATAGTAGGAGTTTGGGTTGTATTGTGTTATTGGTATAGAAGGGATTTCAGGTGATTATAATAATGGAGAAGTAAAGAGCATGGAATGGGGAGACCAATTGCACCACTTACTAGCTATGAGACCTGGTAAATTACTTAAACATTCTTTGCCTCAGTTTTCTCATAAGGAAGGTGGGGATAGTAGTAGAACCTACCCCATAGAGTTGTCAATAAATTAACTAGATAGAATACCTAATTTGATGAAAGAGAAAGGTTCAAATTAAGGTAAAAATAGTGAATGATTTTAAACTGTGATTTTGCTCAAAATTCTGTAATTATGATGAAATGATTATCCTTCTGGATAAAAAGAATTTGTCAAAACAGCTCAAAAAAAGTAGGATAATTTGAATAGATCAGTAACCATGGAAGAACTTAGAAAATGTTACAAAAACTGGGCCTAGATTTATAAATGCTTTCAAATCTTTAAAGCACAGAAATTCTGGTGTGATATAAACTTTTTCAGAGCACAGAAATAGATGAAAGTCTTCCCAATTGATGTCATAGAGGAATTTTGATCCCAAGAGTTAATGATGTATCAATATTGCCTCATTAATTGTGAGAAATATGCCATCTCACTAATGTATTATAAGATTTTAGAAATAGAGGTACAGAAAATTTCTAAATAAAACACCAACAAATTGAACACTGGTCTTCATGATCAGCTGGATCTCTCACCCTAGGAACATTAAGAAATGTATTAACATGTTGCATCAGTAGATAGAGGAGAAAAGTCATTTAATCAAATGCCAAAAAGTTATTTGATACCATTTATCACCTGTTCCGGTTTTAAAACTGTATGCAGGGCCAGCAGACTACTTCCTTTGTGTGTTATAGAACATGTGGCTGGCTTCAACAGCCCTCCTGGGGAAGAAGTAGAGGAGAATTTTCAAATGTGGGTACAGACCCATTGTTTCTACATCTAGGAATTTATCCCATAAAACTACGTGGGATTGTTTTATAGTGTTCTGTAGTGTTCTTTGTAAGAGCAAAACTTTAGAAGTAATTTGAATATCTATGACTTGGGGACTGGTTTAATAAATCATGACATATTTACAAGATAGGACGCTAAGAATTGTTAAAGTGACTGCGGTATATGTAGAGGTATTGGTTTGGAAAGACTTTTTCCACCATAGATTACTACTTTTGCCTATTTTTGAATTTTATATCAATTGAATCATACACTGCTTTCTCTTTTAGTGTTGGGATTTTTTTTTAACTCAAGATTATGGTCGTGAGATTTATCCTTGCTGTGTGCAGCAGTAGTTGGTTTATTCTCACTGCTGTGAGTCTTCTTTTGTATGAATACACCACATTTTAATTACTCATAGCTTGTATTAGTTTTATAATCAGGAAAAAAATGTAGTTTAAAAAGAAAAATGTGGTTGAAGTTACAGCTCAAATTGGAGATATTTTATAACTTGAAAATTTTATACAAAATTAGTTTGCATTTATCTAACTCAAGAGTTAATTCACCCATCTTCTTTATCCCCTTTTGGTTTCTCTCTTTTGGGCCTGTGGTCATTATATGTCCACCATAGAACGAAAGGGAAACAGGAAAGAGATGAAACCTGAATCCCTTAATTGTCCCTCTCATTACTGCTCTGGCTCAGGGTGGATAAAGTGAATTAACTCTTTCATTAACGTGCCCCTCCCAGTAACTGTGATGCAGGCGTTCAAAGCAAATCTGTAGTACAGGATATAATCCAATAGTGTTGTAGTCAGTGTCTTTTTCTAGTTCCACAGTTAAATGACTCAGAGCTGTAATGGAACCTTCCTAATTCTGGATTGTTTGGCTTATATTTCACATCCATTTATTTAGGTTTAATATGAAATTTAGCTAATAAGAGCTGAAATGGACCTTAGAGATAATGAACTGGTTTTCACCTGGCACATGAGGCGGCGGTGTCTATAGTGGTCTGCCTAGTCCGCATAGCAATGGGGCTGGACCTGGAGTAGACTCCTGGCTCACATTTTGGAGACATGTTGGTTGCCTCCCTAAGTAAAGAGCCTTTTTGAGCTCCTTTACAAAGGCACTTAAGCCATCGTGTTCTCTTGTTCATTTGTTTCCAGCATTTACCCTGTAGACTTTATGAAGCGTTCACTCCACAATTTGGAATTGGGTTTGATTTGATTGTTATTCCTAGTCATGGGCAACATGGCCCTTCTGTTCTTAAAGACTTAACTCTAAATTGCTCATAGAAGAATTCTTGTTTTGTCACTCTCTAAAATTCAACCAAAACTCAATTCAAGTTAGCATTCTGAGAGCATATCCATATTAAGGTTATTAGGGTAGCAAGTGTGTGAAGTAACTTTTTTATGCATTGCTTTTCAGGAGTAGAAGGTTTACCAGTCTTAGGTGACTAAGCAGTTTCACAAATAAACCCTCCAGCAAGTTTAAAAATAATTAGGCCCAACTCAGAGGAAGTGAAGTTTCTCCTGTTGCACAAAAAAGATGTCTAGCGGCTCCAGTGAAGTCGATGTGGTTTGTATTTCAAGTTGAAAATCTGTCTTTGTTCTTTTCATTTGCTATAGTTCTTTTGTAAATTGAGTTTAATTTCATGTAGTGAAATGCATAGTTCATAAGTGAATTTTCTGTCATGAATTTTGACAGTGATGTATAAAGCTTCTATGACCATTCATGTACAAGTTTCTTTGTGAACATGTACTTAAATCTGTTCTGGGTAAATACTCAGAAGTTGAATTGCTAGATCATGAAGTTGATGTAAATTCAGTATTATAAGAATTTGCCAATAGTTTTTCAAAGCAGTTGTGCTGTTTTTACACTTCCGCTACATTCTGCTATGTTTCTTAATCCTTGAAGTTGAATCAAAATATAAATTATTAAACTATATATAATTTGGCTTAACAGGAAACACATTTACTCAGTTACATAAGGAAATGGATATTCATGCTACCTAAGTAGTCTAGGCCTGCAGTCCCCAACCCCCGGGCCTCGGTCCGTGGCCTCCTATCACCACCTGAGCTCCTCACCACACTCCCCCCTACATCCCCCCCCACATCATGTCTTCCATGAAACCATCCTCTGGTGCCAAAAAGGTTGGGGGGCTGCTGGTCTAGGCAATTCTCTTAACTTCTATCATCCCCAAAGTTTTTCAGAAATCTTTGGAGATGATATAAACTGCCTACCAAGAGTCATTTTTCTCTGACATAATTATGTGAAAGCACTTTGAAAAGCATAAGGCACTATATACAAAGGGTAAAGGTGGTACTAATCTATAGCCCAATTCCATATTATTTTGGTTCTCTAATCAGTGCAAGGCTAATTCAGGTGATTCTATCATATTTTGAAACAAAGACATACATGCCTACCAAGTATGTTCATATAGTTCATAATTTATTCTTAAAGAGTTACTATTCTGAAGTGTAATGGTTATTTACTCTCTGTTACTAAGTTATACCCTGACTTATTCCCCAGAAAAGTTTCAAGGTGCTCTAGAAATTGATTTATCAAGAAAAGTAGGTGCTTAAATGTTTCCTATCTTGTCCACAGAGTGGCACTGTTAGATTATTTAAAATCAAAAGCCATGTAACATTTAGTTCTTTGTTCATGGTTAGAAATATTTGCTTTTAAAACAGTTCTTGTGCTAGAAGACCAGTCTTTTTACCCTGAAGTACATTAGGGGTTAAGCTCAATGGAAACAGCACATTAAGTGTAGTTAATGAGGAAACACTTTTGCAAAGACATCTTTTCATGTAGTCATAGTATTAACTATGAGCAAAGGTCCTTTGATATAGGCCTTTGGAGCTCTTGAAAGTGAAATTGAAGCCCTCAACTTTTCTTTTAGTTCTATTTTTCATCTTTCCTTTTAATTTGTTAATAAATCTTCCCCAGATAAGAACTCGAATACCTGCTTATGGTGATGATAATATTGTTCTTTATGCATATGAACCAAATACTGCATATAACAATAATGTAAGTAGTATTAATTGCTAGTTGCCAAATATCTTAAAACTTACCATTTTAAGGAAAAAGATTTAAATTTCTCAGATACTGTGAAGTTCTCTAAACTCACACTCAAGAAAATCTCTCTTGAATTTGTATGGTTTCTTCATTAGACAATGTGCTCTTTACTTCCCCATTTTCATATATAGTAGGGAATTCGGAGAAGTTTTGTATTCATTTTTTGGTACAAAATTCTAAACCTGTATTCTTCAGATATAATAAATTCTTTCCTTGTCCCCTTTCTTAATTGGCAGTTATCATTTTCATTCTCACATTAATGTGAATTTTTATTCTATCTCTGCTTTAGATTAAGACTTCTGAAACCCTTTGAAAAGTTGGTGAAAAATAAAAACAATTCAAATAGATAAATAATAAGTTCTTTCCCCCAGTGTTCAATTTGGCTCTTACAAAAGTAAAGCATTAACTATTTACTTTAAAAATATTAGCAGGAACATGTTCAATCTGAGGTGTCCTGCAACGAAGAAGAACAAAAAACAATGATGGATATCCTCACCCAGTGCCAGGTATGGAAGTTTGGTCTCTTTAATGTCATTTTCTAAAATGTTAAGTGAAAATTCTCTTTATTTCATATAGAGGGAAAGTATAGAATTGAATGAAATTTTTCCATATCAAGTCATCTATGATTACCACCCCATTGTGATGATTTTTAACAATGTATAGTTAGAATAGCATCCCCTGGTGAAAATTTTGGAATAGGAACATGAATATTTTATAGCTTTTTAAAAAGCTGGTTACTGATCAGATGTAGTTATGTCTCTTTTGTCTAGATTACTCAATATTGAATTAATTTCTTCTCCAAAATCTTTAAGGAAAATTGGCTGTTTTAGATGACACTTAGTATGTGTCTAAATACATATCAGTATATCTCAACTGAAACAAAGTGGCAGCCCATCAATGCTTTGTAAAGAGTATATCTTGTGTTTCGAGGGGATTTCGTAAAAATTAGCATGTTGGTAGCGATGGACAGAGGTATGTGATTACCAGGAATTTTGTGAGCTGCATACCCCAGAGGTAATGAAAGTTTTTTTAAAAAATGAATAAATGTTTCTTAACATATGAAGTTTCTTGAATGAGATGAGCTAACACACTTTGAAAAGTGAAAGTGTTTGGGTCTTTATCATTAGCAAAGAGAGAAGTGGAATGTTTCCAAGGGTCATGTGCAGCTGGCCAGATGGAGGGGAAGGAGGGCCCAGGTGGGCTGGAGAGGGAGGAGCAGGCTCTCCTGCCTGCCTTACCCCTTGCCTGAGGGTCCTCTGTGGGCGGCCTAGGTCTGCTCAGCACGGGTGAGAGCTGAGCTGGGAGGTGCCCAGGGCCAGAGCCACAGCCTGAAATGGCCCCAGTGCTCCTCTCCATTGCCCCCAAGGGCCAGCTCTTTCCTTCCTCCACGTCTCCCTTCCCATTCTAGATGCTTCAGCCTGCTCTTCTTTCCTCCCATTCCCTCCACTGAGCCCCTTGTCCTTGCCCAGCACCCTCTCCTGTCCACCCCTGCCCCTTTCAGGCTGGGAGCAGAGGAGGATGCCCTCCGCTGGCCGTCCCTGCCCGGTCACCCGTCACGAGCTCCAGGGAGCCCGTACCCACCTCGCCTCACCTACCCCAGTGCTGCCGCTTCTCTCCTGTAGCAGTCCTCCCCTCCATGGCCTTGTTCCTGTCCCCATAGCCCACCAGCCAGCCCGACCCCATCCTTCTCACCCGCTTCCCGATCACTGCGACGGAAAGGTGTCTCCCACTGTCAGGACTGACACCTGCTCTGGTTTCTGAGTCTGGCCCTTTCCCCTGTGCTCAGACACTGCCCCCCATCAGGCTCCAGCCTCCTCCAGCTCCAGCCCTGTCCTTGTCACACCTTCCCCTTCTCACAGCTTTGAAAAGCCACTTCTCTTGCCTCCCCATCCCTCGTTTGTTGTCACTTCACTCTCTTACCTCTCATGACAGCCCAGTTCCTGCTATGTCATTGATAGTCACCGTCCACGTAATCTGGTTTCCTGTTTTTCTTTCCGAGTATGTTAGAACATGCTGTTCCTCCTGCCCCGTGTGCCCGGCCATGCATCTTCACCTGGCGAACACGTTCTCATCTTTTCATTCTCAACCTTGACATCACCTTCTCTGCAAAGCCTCCCATGACTACCAGCCTGGGTTAGGTCCTGCTCTTCTGTGCATGCTTAGCCTCCTGTTCTTACCTGTGTCATGGCACTGGTAATGCCAGTAAAAATAATATGATTATACCATTGAGCACTGTTGGACCAGGCATCACACAGTATTGTCATTGTTAGTATTATATTAACATGATACTCTAGCAAGGTTCCTGTCCTCAAAAGAACCCTAAGAGATATTTTTATCCGATTCCCTACATAAAGAAAGTGAAGCACAGAGAAGTTAAGTAACTTGCCCAAGGGGTGTCTTGAGGTGGGGGTTGTGCAGAACTCAGGCAGTGATGCAAAGCCCTTTTCCTAACAGACTATGGATCGGTACCTGGCCGTTGCCTGGAGGTTGAGGACCACAGGCTTGGAGGAAGTGTGGTACATTCCCTTTCCAGCATTAGAGCTTCCTCAACACCTGCATGGAATAGCATGGTGGAGGGAAAGTTGGGGCTCCTTAGCTCAGCCATTGGACTCTGTGACTCTTACAGCCAGGCCTCAAGTAGGAAGCAAGACATTTCTGAGGGCTTGAGAACTTTTGTTGTGTCTAGCAGTTAAAATTTGACTTAATGGTATTTTCACATGTTACTTTTCTTTTGAAATAGAAACTACTAATAGCTTGTATTATAATAGGTTATAAACGATGCCATCCAAAACCTGGATAAGAAGTGTGATGTTATTTATGGAAAGGTTTCAAAAATCTATCGGTGCCGTGCGAAATCCTTGTGGCAAAATCGTGTAAGTGTTATAAAAAACATTTTCAGAGCTGTGGTAAGCCTCTCGTTTCTAAAGATGCCAGTCAGTTTGAAGTGATAGAGAACTAGTAAGATTAGCCAGGCTAATCTCTGCTTACTTCAGTAGCAGATGGAGGACTGAAACTCTGTTGGAAGTTTAGGTTTGATAAATTATGACACTGGGTATTTTTATGTTTGTAAGTATAATGTATAAAATACAATTAAAATGCAGGGTTGAAGAGGAAAAAAAATCATGTAATCAAAAAAGACCACTTATTTTTAATGACGTAAAGCAGCGCTGCATGGAAAATGAATATTAATGTATTTAATATTCATTTTACTTCCTTTTTACTCACTGTTGATTTGTGCTGGGTTTGTGTGATTTCAGAAGCCGCATGGATATGCACACAAAAATCATAATTACCAGCTTTCTAGAAAACAAAAATTCCAGAGAATGAGGAAGAGGGAGCCACATCACAGTTCATTCTCCTACTCTGAAAGTTATAGCCCCACTGTACCAGTGGGAAGACGGGATAATGATTCCCAGAGCCACCCTCCAGGAACACCTTTTAATTCTGACGAGTCCGTGGAACCAGAGCATGATTCACTGCTTGAGGAGCAGGAGCGGGATGCGATCCTCCGCCATAGTCCATCGCTCTCCTCGAGTTCGTATCAGCCATCTTGCGTACGTGATGATGACCAAATGCAGAGCGGTGGGCCGGGCTTTAGCAGCCCCAGGGCTGACAGTGCTGGTGGCCTCTACTCACCTACCCGACCTCGCTCAACAATGTCTCCGGGCATGCTGGCTCAAGGAGAACCCAGTCCAATACGTAACCCTGAGATGATCAATTACTCAGATTTAATGGAAAATAAACATGACGTGTCATCTCTCTGCATACCTTGTGGTTTAGGTGAGTTTGAAATGACACATGTTACAAGTAGTACTATTAATATTTAATCTGTTTCCATAAACATCCTTGATGCAAGCTAGTGGAAGCTGTTTGTTTCCTATTTTGAGGGCTGTTTTTAGGTGATATTCAGAATGATGGCTGACATTTGTTGAGTGTGTATTATGTGCAAGGCACTGTGCCAATCAGCTGATGTGCCTCTTCTCCACTTATAATGACCCTGTGATGTTGGCACTTTTATCGCCCCTATCCCCAAAGTCACAGAGCTGGTGAGTGGCACTCCCAGAACTTCACCCCATTGTGAATTTTTTAATCTTCTATTTTTGTTTACCCTTTCCCTGGATAAATAACTCAAAACAGTCCTGAAATGGCAAGAGCCCAGAAGATAGGGAAGAAAGGGTATGCCTTTGGCTAATTCGCACACAAAAATGATCAATTGTGTTGCTGATCCTTGTTTGGAGAAACAAAGCTTCCTAGCTCATTACAAAACTCACTTCAGTTATCACATTAAGTTTAGGGAGTCGAATGTTCTTCCCAAGTAAGTGAATACTTATCAGGACACAAAGAAATTTCAACACAACTTAGTGAAGAACACAGCTAAAACCTTTTGAGGTATGATCACTTATATTGTTTCATGTCTCAGTTATTTCTTTTTTAACATACAAAACTTTGACCAAAATATCTATCACTGTGCAAGTAAATGTGAAAGAGGAATTAAATAAAATGATAGTTACTTCTGATCTAGCTCAGCAGAAAATAATCTTGTTTTCTTTAAAATTCAGATTAGCATTTAAGCCATGAGAGACAGGAATCTAGAGTAAAGTGATACTAAAATAGCCTTATTGCTTACTTGGGGGAGATTTGGTAAAAGAACTAATTTGGTTCTCAAAGATAATGGAATTATTATTATTGAAATTCATTGATTAAAATGAACACATTTAAGCAATTATAAAACTGTAAATTTGAGGAATTTCCATACTGTTTAGCTAGTAAAATAAACCTAATCTAGACAGAACAAGAGAGATCAAGAGAGAGATTGAGAGAAAGTCATTGAAATACTTCAAGTAAGAGAGTCATAGGTTAGGTTAGATTAGCCTAATTTTACCCAAGTAACAGATCTTTTGCTATATTTGCCTGTGGCCAAAGAAGCCTTGGATTGCTCAATCTGTTTTATGGTCTTTGAAGCTTTAAGGTAACTTCTGAACCTGCTTCTGTTGTCTGGGGGAGGTCAGATGGGACGTTCTGTGTGGCCATCCTCACATCATCTTTCTATAGGCTTTCACTAGATTTTACAGTTGGAGTCTTGAGTACTTGCTGGGGTACTTAAAAGAACGTTCCAGGAATGAGACCATTACTCCCTACCTAACATCTCTTCTTTCAGGATAATGATCAGGTCAAGTATGATTTGTCTTGTTTTCTCTCCATTGAAGTTACAAGTTCACCAGTTGAACGTGACTCTGGTATCCTGAAACAAAGCTTCTCTGAGGACCCTTCAACCTGGTCTGTGGAAGAAGTAATCCTGTTTCTGAAACAAGAAGATCCTCAGACATTAGGCCCTCTTGCTGACCTCTTCAGACACCATGTAATGTTTCTTTTTGTCCAGTTTTCCTGCCATAATGCCTTTGAATGACCTCTGTGCAGGCCCTTCAGTTGGATTCTGAGTAGTGTAGATGGTGGGGGAACCCTGTCAATTGATTTTCCGTGTGTAAGAAAAATGACGTTAATGGTCTATTCTTTAAATGGGTCTTCAAAGTGCCTAATATACAAATGGCCACAAGTTCTCAAGAGATGATGGTTGAGCATCACCACTCTCAGGTGTACCTACCCTCTGTAATGACAGATACAAGGATCCTCCCTCCCATCCCCCACTTCCAGCTCGGCCTCAGGACCGTGAGCAGGAGGGGGTGACCACAAGCTGTAACAGGGTGCCCTTCTTGAGATGATACACAATGAATCTGGCAACTGATTCCACTGGGCTTGGTTATTGATGATTTGTAAGGCTGATACCCTCAGGCTGTTACCAGACCGTTTTACAGAGTAACCTCATAGGCTAAATTTTTGTAAGTTCTAATTTCTTTAATTTCAAGTTTTATTAATATGTAGTAGAAAAGTATACAAGGCACCTGACAAAGGTAGTACTGTAAGGGATTTCATGTCTTTTCAGACAGTGTTACAGGAGTAAGTAAAATTTTGTTTTTAAACTGGAACTTGTGAAAACCTAATAATATGCTTCAGCAGCATAAGCTGGTCAATTCAGATAATAAGGAATTTTAGGATGCCTCATAACTATCAAGAAATATTTTTATAGTGTGTCCTAACAAAATTAGTAGCTACATATCTGACGTACCATTTTCAATATGGTAGGAAAGTCAGTAGTTAGTTTTAGTATCAAATTAGATTCAGACAGCCAACTGGCTTTCGTCGTAAAGGCAGTAGTATACAGCACATTTATAGTCTGCACTGATGCTGACATACTCATATTCCCAGCCCTTCTCAGACAGTTAATGGCCATCTGAAATTCATTTTTACCATTCATAGTTTTTGCTCTTTTGTCAAAGATATGTAGTATTTTATTCAACATACAGTATGCATTTAAAATGTAGTATGACACAGTTCATTTTTTTAAGATAGTAGGTTAATTTTCCTTTTTCTTAAAACCTAAAGTGAATTTATAAATATCAAATGATGCTTCACTATACAAATTATATTTTTAATAGTTTTTTTCATAAAGTAGATGCACATTCAGAGACTATACATCTGGGATGAGCTGCTCTCTGGATTGCTTTACATTTTCTTATATAGAAAGAAATAACCATTCTGGCAAAATATGAAGGCATTATTAATTATTATAAGTTCCTTCTCTCTGTAGGACATTGATGGGAAGGCTCTGCTACTGCTCAAGAGTGACATGATGCTGACGTATATGGGGCTGAAGCTGGGGACAGCTGTGAAGCTATGCCACTGCATTGAAAAACTTAAAGATGACAAATACGATAAAGAAAAAAAATACTGTGACAATTAAAAAATGTTTGTGCAAATTTAGATTAGGCTTACTTTTAGGGGTACCAATGCCTTCTCAATGTAAACTCATTTTTTTGCCCTTAGTAGTTTTCGTTTTGTAGAAAGTGCCTCTAAAAATACGTTATATCCAGAATTACAGAACTATAGTACAGTCCAGTCTACTTCTTTAAAAACCGTATAACATGTTAGTGTTAGCATATTCAAATAGAAAATTTGTTCTTTATGTTTTATTATTATTTTCATTGTATAGTTTAGAATGTTTTGTATTATTTATACTTCATGCTGGAAATAGCAAAAAACCTTTCATTTTGGTCCATCATTATATTTAGAACCAAAACAGCTGAAAGAGGAAATATCAGGGATTGACAACTTCTATAATTAAATCCATGAGAATTCTTCCTTAGAAGAGAATGTAAAGGTGCGCCTATAGATAGCATCTCTTTCTCAAACACTTTTATCTGTCTGATACTGCAATGTTTTTCTCATGTTCTACCAGTTTCCATAAAGGGGATAGCCATGTGAATTATTTATTTTTCTGTTATTATTTA